AATAACCATGGGAGTACTAGTATCTCTTTGATATACTGAGTGCCTTTCATTTGAATATATGCCCAGTAGTGGCATTTCTGGGTCATATGGTAATTTTATTTTTGGTTTTTTGAGGAACTTTTATGCTGTTGTTCATAGTAGCCATACTAATTTACATTTCTACCAACAGCGTATGAGGGTTTCCCTTTCTGCAGATCCTCATCAACATTTGTTATTTTTGTCTTTTTTTTTTTCCCCCTTTGAGACAGAGTCTTACTCTGTCACCCCGGCCTAAGTGCAGTGGCACAATCTTGGCTCACTGCAACCTCCTCTTCTCAGGTTCCAGTGATTCTATTCTTGTGCCTCAGCCTCCCCAGTAGCTGGGATTACAGGTGTCCACCACCATACCGGGCTAATTTTTGTATTTTTGGTAGAAATGGGGTTTTACCATGTTGGCCAGGCTGGTCTTGAACTCCTGGCCTCAAGAGATCTACCCATCTTGGCCTCCCAAAGTGCTGGGATTACAGGCATGAGCCATGTCTAGCTCTAATTTTGTCTCTTTGATACAAGCCATTTTGACTGGAATGAGATAGTATCTCATTGTGGCTTTGATTTGCATTTCTCTGATGATAGTTGATGTTGAACATTTTTCATATACCTGCTGGTCATTTATGTCTTCTTTGAGAAGTGTCTGTTCAGATCTTTTGCCCATTTTTAAATGGAATTATTATTATTATTTGCTATTGAGTTGGTTGTACTCCTTATATATTCTGATTATTAATCCCTTGTCAGACGGATAGTATGCTAATATCTTCTCTGATTCTGTGGGGTGTCTCTTCACTTTGTTGATTGTTTCCTTTGCTGTGTAGAAGCTTTTTATCTTAATGTAATGTTTATTTTTACTTTGATCGTCAACCACTGATCTTTTTACAGTCTCCATAATTTTGCCTTTTCCAGAATGCCATGTAGTTGGAATCATACAGTATATAACCTTTTCGTATTGCCTTTTTTCACTTAGTACTATACATTTAAGCTTCTTCCATGTCTTTCTATGGCTTGATAATTCATTGTTTTGTTTTTAGCACTGAGTAATATTTCACTGTCAGGATGTATTGGAGTTTGTTCATTCACTCACGTTTTGAAGGACATCTTGGTTGCTTCCAAGTTTTGGCAATTATAAATAAAGCTGCTGTAAACATTTGTGTGCAGGTTTGTATGTGGACAAAAGTTTTTAACTTCTTTGCGTAAATACCAATGTGTGCCCTAAAATGTTTTGCTTTGCATTCATAGGCCCAGTAAGAGAAAGGAGGGGCAGTGTCAGCTAAAACTCTTCAGTGTGTTAAATAGGAGAATTATTTCCCCATGTTTGGATGTCCTCTTGCATTTGAACTTTTTTTTTTCACCCTAAGTATATGCTTCTGTGTAATAATTTTAAGTACAACTCAGTGAAGTAAATGGTGTAAAAAGGAGAATGCACCTTACCCAGAATGGGCTCCCTCTCACGCCCTCCACCTGTCCCCCCTGCTCTTCATTCTGTATGGTGTAAAAGAAACCTTGATTGTACCATAGTTCATGACCTCTGGATTTAGTTTCATTACTCATAAAACTTGGTTTCACCATTCAACTGATACATTATTTCATCTTTGCAAATTGTTTATCATTGGTCAAGGCGAAATACAACCTAATTGTTTCCATTAAAATTAATGAAAATGTTGTTTCTTCATGACTTTTCATGTAGTGGCAGGATTTTTGGGGCTGAATTAGAGCCCCTAAGTGAGGGATGGGGATACTGAATCATGGCTGCCCAGGTCAGGGGCCATGCTTTTCATTGTTACATTGATGACACTGTGTACTGTCATGTAGTAGGCCTTTAGTCAAACTTTGTAGAATGAAAAAGCAAATCCTCTTTATATAACTGCAAGGGGGGCGTTTTCAAGTAGACACTACAGGGGTCTTGTATCAAAACCTCTCATTTTCAAAATGGGTGTGGCTTTGGGAATCTCCTTGTCTGAGTGAGTCAGAAGTAATTGAGCAAGCCTATTAAAAATGAAGTTTAGAAATGGACACATATGATTTGCACTGGAATAAGTTAATGCTGCTTTATGGTTTAATCAGGATTCTCAGGAAACAATGAGCATTGGGTGCCCAGATGGGTTACTCAGTGAGGCAGGTTAAAGAAAGGAATATTGGAGTGATTGTAGAGAAAGAGGAGGGAGGAAGTCATGAGGAATGGAGAAGAACCTTCAGGAGGAATTGGTCAAGGCTGTCGCGAGCACCACTGTGAAAAACTGGAAAGCTGCAGAGCATGAGAAAGAAAAAAGGCATGCAGCAGGGCTGGTATCTGCCCAGGAACAGGAGGGGCCAGTGTGGGAGATCTCTGAGGAGAAAGGAGGGAAGGGGCCAAAAAGCATTAAATTGTGAATATATCAGGAAGGCAATGGAGAGGTGACTCAGCCTGAACAGATGGTGGGGTCTGGGCTTTGCTTTTCCAACTAGAAAGAGATATGGAGAGAGAGGGAGATAGAGAGAGAAATAGAGGCACAAAGAGAGAGACAAAGGCAGATGAGAGATACACAAACCGAGAGAGAGAGAGAGAGAGAGAGAGAGAAAGAGACAAAAGGAGGGAAGAGGAAGAAGGGGGGAAGTGGTGGGAGAAAGAGAGAGACAGAATAGAAAAACAATGAAGACTGAGGCTAAGAGACAGAGTTAGAGAATATCCGAGTTGCTCTGAAGAGAGAAAGATATGCTGGAACCAGGAAGTGACGGCTATTCACACCAGACTGGAACAAGAGACCTGCCAAAACATCATCTGCTAAAGAGCAGCATGCCCTACATGCCTGTTGGCCCCTGGATTCTGCACACTGCAGGTTACAAGCTCTCATTCTCCCACCTGACCAACTGCATAAACCTCAGGCTAAGGAGACATGAGTCATAGAGGCACTCGAAAGATGTCAAGATGTGAGAGACCAGGGAACTAGGGGTTTGGTTATAAGAGGGAAGAGCAGAAGCCAGCCAGCCAGCAAACCATTTTTCCTCTGATGAAGGTGGCAGGAAGGTCACTACTTTAAAAATACTCCCAGAGCCCTGCGTGACTAAATTATTTGGAACAAACAAACAAAAAAAAGACACAAACGGAAACCTCCTATTAAAGCAGACAAAGAGGTTCCTTCTTTCTGGGTATAGCTGGGGTTGGGCATCTTCTTGTTAGATTTTGGGAGTTCAGGTTTCTTTTGCCTCACTTGATATACTGGCTGCTCTCATTTGCTGCCTCTATAAAGTGGCAAGTCAGAAGCATTACCAGGGATAATTCAGTGTTTTACTTCATTAAAATGAGGCAGGACTTAATGTGCTGGGAGGTCCTGCTACTCCCCGGTTCAGGAGTGAGTGAGATGTCCCACCACGACTCTCTGGCCAGGTGAGTCCATGAGCTTTTCCTATCCTAGCTGGAGACAGAGCTGCACTGAGACTGAGGACAGTGGCAGCAATCCCCTCTTCAAATGGTCATGAAGGTGCATGTCTTCCATTGCCTCACTTCTTATACCAGAGGAAGAATGGTGGACGTTTGTAGAAACAAGCCATTTGTGGTTTTCTGAAAACGCGCACCTTTGATTTGAAAGCCTGTGTCAGTTAGGTAAGTTTCTGAAAGGGAGCACAAAGTCTTATGCCAGATCTTTAGAGGCTAGCAGATCCCAAAAGACTGCACAAGGTGCATAAATATTTATATGTTTCTCCTGAAGGTGGCGAGAGGCTATTTTGTTTTCCTTGGGCCAGAAATCAGTGAAAGAAAGAGGTCTTGCTGGGCGTGGTGGCTCAAGCCTGTAATCCCAGCACTTTGGGAGGCCGAGGCGGGTGGATCACGAGGTCAAGAGATCGAGACCATCCTGGTCAACATGGTGAAACCCCGTCTCTACTAAA